AAAAAAAAAAAATATATAATTCTACACCCACAGTTGATCCAGAGGAAGGCAAAAAAAAACCCAGCAAAGCATGATCCAATTTGCTCCTGCAGGGAAAAAAATCCTTCCTGATCCTATAAATGTTATATCCAGTTATATTCTGTGTACGTATGTTTGCGATAGGAAAAAGAAGCAAAAAAAAAAACAGCACAAAATAATATTACAAAGAACATGCAATTTCTCTCCAGTATTCTAATCAAAAGTGAAAAGTAACATTCAGGGTCAAAGAGGAAGCTCACCCACGTCCTCTCCCCAAGGCTGGAAGCTAGCAATCTAGATCTACAAAAGAGATCGTATTTTGTCTTTATGTAGCAGTTCTACATTTAGTAAATCACATAACATTTTCAGCAATCACAGCAGTATTGAGACAACTTTAAAGGCTTAAGTAGATGAGCATTGTTGTCAAATGCTGCCTTTTGAATTTGAATGCAGCACAGCTCAAACACAAAGGGTCAAACGCAAAATATAGCAAAAGGCTATGTCACTAAAGTAAATGGGTATTTCTGTCTGTGAAGTGCTGCTTACATAACTAACTAAAAGCCTAGGTATTTGGACCTGTGGTCTCTGGCGAAGGCAAGGATCAAAGTTCACACTGGTTGATCTTCAACAGAGAATAAGTACTGTGTACTGTACTATGTATAGGCTAAAGCTGGGCATACACTCTTGAGGGTTTTTTTTTTTTTTTTTTTTTGTTCAACCAGCAGATTGAAAAAAAAACTCACTGACTCCCACATCCACACAATCAAAATGAATGGAGGATTTTTCCACACTGCGTTTATTGTGTTATGTCAGCAGGGACTCTCACCCCCCTTCCCCAGCAGAATACACTGATCAGTGCTGCAGGCATTGGCTGCCGCAGCTGTTCGAATGCTCTTTTTTTAGCAAGACAGAGAGGGCTACACATGAAATGAAATTTTCTGAGTTTTCTGTCAAACCGGCTGAATTTCAATACATGTATACCACCCGACCAGCTTCTGTTAATTGTTCTTGCTAGAAAACCAGCCTTTGATCAGCCGCTGCAGCCTATGCCTGCAGTGTTGATTAGTGTATCCTGACAGGTGGGGGAGTTCCTGCTGTCAGAATACAATAGCACAGCGGGGGAAATTCTTGCATCCACATCACAATCTGCGAGGTGTTTTTTTTTCCTTTCCTAGTCTATAGCCAGCTTAATAGTATGTAGGCAGCACTGGAAATAAAGCTCTTACAGGCTAACACTTTAAAAGCCTTCACAGGTCATCAGTTTAGCTTTAACCATGAATGATAGCCCTAGAATGTTTGCTCCCATTTTGGCATAACTGACAATATCTAATATGTGTAGTGCAATCATCATTGTCATATGTAGGTGCACCCAATGCATATGTTTACATTTCTATGTGTGTGTACATAGGGGCAGTGGAGCTTTTAATACATTTATGTTTTTATTGATTTTGTGTCATTTTATTTTGTAAACTTTTTTTTTACCTAATGTTATTGCTAAAACAAAGGGGGCTGACAAGCCCCCATGTGATAGCACAATGGAAGTGACAGGTTCTCATTAATTAGACACCAGGGATCTATTAGCTACTTACTGATCACAGCAGCAGGGGGGAATGATAGTGTTGAACCCGGAAGTGACAAGTATTAGGCCACATTCGAGTTCAGCGCTGTCACACCCCCGGCCCCTGTGGCCAGTAAGTTAAAAGATCCCTGATGTTTCATTAAACATAATCTGTTGCTTCCATTGTTTATTCACCAGATGTACAACCATAAGCTAATGTTTGCCAATCTTCCTCCGTTCTGCTGCCGAAACCTGCTATGACCTTGCCAGGCCTACAGGAGGGGCAGTGGAGCCCAAAATACATTGATGGGGGGGGGTCAGACTCGGTGCACATTCGGATGTGTGTGGAATTGTTAGGGTGCCTGAATCACTTCCAGAGGAAAGCCAACAATTCGAGTATGTTTAAAGGTTTGTGCCACTGCGAACATAAGCCTTATATATCGGGGGTATTGAAAGGGTTGAAAATCTGTTTCAGCAAGACTTTTGATGAAGAACTAAACCCTGGAAGCTGTTCCCAAAAAGGGACTAGTCATTAGCATTTCCTGTGGTCTCCCTGACCTTTTCTCATTACCATGTTGTGTCTCTGGTGTCAAGGCGGCCATGTTAGTAGAGGCAGGGCTTTGCTTCCTCATGTCAGAGCCTCCAGCGAGGAAAACAGGTTGCAGCACAGCAGTGACATTACCAAACCTCACTGCATGTGACTGCTGAGCCTAGTAGTCATATGCAATGGTGCCTTAGATCTCCCACTGCAGACACCAAGACGTGCACTGCTATGTGCTGGGGGAGTTTAAGACTGCTTAGGAACAGCTAACATTTCTAACTGTCCCTATACCATTGTAAATCTTCACTTTTTGAGTTCAGGTCAACTTTAAGCTTAACATTAAAATTGAGAATAGGTTTGCTTTAATTTTTCCAAGCAGTAGCTTTTAAAGTAGGAGCTGTGATATACTGGATGGCCCTCATTGTACATTCAAACATTAACAAATAGTTATTGAACAGTTCCATTTAATATTATTTTATCCTCAAAGCATAATAGTTTAATAACACATTTCTAGAGAAGAGGACCTTCAGTAGGAACTCTGAAAATGAAAATACCTGCCAATGTCTGCCAGCTGAGGACATTTCCTATTCAGACAGCATTGTTACCTTTTGATAAGGACCTGCCTCAGTTAATTAATGTATAGACAGTCATCTTATAAACTTTATCCTGCTGCCAAATAACATTTCAAAGTCACATTCTGTACAGAGGGTTCCTCTATTTTACAACCAGAATAATCTATACACGGTCTTCTGTACAAAAGGAACACAGAACAGAACTACAATCTGAAGATCATCATTATTTTATTTCTTTTTTAATTATAAATCAATTATATATGTTTGACCACTTTGCAAAAAGCCCTGAACAATTTACCTCAAGCCCTTGTAGGTAACCGCAAAATCTATTAACCAACTTAAAAAATTTCAAGAAAAGTACAAAAAAATTTTAATTTGCATAAACAATTTTAATTACTTGTGATTTGCTTTTAAACTTGGTAGGGGATGCAAAAACTTCAGGAAGAGCTGATTCACTAACACAGATACAGTTCTTCTTCCTTCCCTCCTGCCACATTTAGCACTTACCCCTGAAGGAGCCACTGTTTTTTTCAGGCCCTATGTTCCCAGTGCCCATGACTCTCCAAGCAGCACAATACTGTAGTGGATTGTGATAGACAGTCCACGTTCTATTAGATGATCAGTAAAATGACAATTTTATAGTCTTGCTACTTTCTGCTTCTTGCTCTTTAAATTCCTTACTCTCTTAAGTAAACAATCAAATAAAGGGTGACAGAACAATGATAATTAAGATGGCTCCTTCATCCGGAGTCTCACCCTAGGTGACTCATTAGAAGAAAAGTATATTTTAATGTAAACAACCCCCATAAAAGGGAATGAGTCATTTTGGTGACTATGATTGGAAGATATCAACATGGATGGAAGAACACGCAGGAAACTTAGGGGACTTTTCACCCAATCATCGGACATGCTTTGCCTGCGTCATGAGACTTATAAATGTTACTGTTATTTCCTCAATAAAGTAGAAATTAGGAAGTTGGCAAACTGCATTCTGTGCCAGTGTCTTACTTCCACATGCACGTATTCTCACATTAATTAGGCTCACTGGTAGATCATAACAGTTGTGGTCGGTTAAGTGATCACATCCAAAACAATACTCTCCGAACACCAGGGCTAAAGGTTGAATATTTATTGTAACCATGCACAATAATTCAGCAATCAAAGAATGGAAAGTGGTGATAAACAATTTATCAAGTACATGAAACAGTTGCAAAATAACATATACACTTGGTATTAAATAAGTAGACCAGTGACTAACTCCTTATCCCTATACTATGGGAGGACCTGTCGAAGGGTCAAACCCTCCCCTACTGACCAGTGCGTTGGGGCCCAAATCCAGCATTGGAGCACTCAATAATAAGTTCCTCTGAGCCCAGGTATAGGTGACAAATGCAATATTCCCCATATACACATTCCTGAAAATGGCTATTCAGTTTGCTGGGTGCTGTCACTTTCCTGATGAAGGGGCCCTACATGGCTCTGAAATGTTTCCATGTGTTTATCAGGTGACCACGAAAATTAAACTTTGGAAACAACCTGACAGCAGCCTACTACACTGTTTGTGTGTTCCACCATGTCCTCTCTGAGATAGGCCTGGTTTCTGGAATAGTCCTTCCTTTTCCTCCCCACAGAGTTCTGATAATGTTGGAATGTGTAGTCCCAAAGCAAATATTTAATACAGTCTCAATATCCCCGGTGACTACATTCCCCACAAGTCATAGCTGCTCCCAACAGGCTCTGTCCTTCCCACCATCCACAGCAGCTTAGTTTCCTCTTTCTCTGTTTTTCCTGGGTGAAGGGCTGTATATAATCCTGCAGTGGGCAGCTGTTGCATCAGTGTAAGGCTGAAAGCCCAATCCAACGGACCTTTCTCTTTTCAGTGCTGTGGATTGGGAATACACACGTCATAGCCCTTTACTCTTCTGGCATCACGTGGTGGCCGCCCAGCAGCAGTTTCTATCATTTTGGGTATCTATACAAGCATTAGATATCTACATTGGAAGGTTTACCCACTACTCCTGTGCTAATGATAACATTTTAAATTTCCCTTTTTATTAAGTGTAGTCAGTGCTGTGTTGTGGCCTAACTCTGTGCTGGGGAGCACCTCTACTCTTGAAAGCCTATGTGTACATGGATTCAATTGGTACACATCAGTATAGCAATTTTAACTTTAGATGTCAAGTCTGAAAGGTGGCACTACCTGCCAAACTCTCCCAAGTATGTGAATGGGGTCATGTCACAACTACAAGCTAAATGCTTGGCTGGCAGTTGTGAAGCAGTCCTGCAATGCAAGATTGCTGTTAGGCAATTAACCCCCCTGGGGGTATTCCCGAGTGTAGCTCGGGGGAAAAGTTTCAGTACCGCAAGCGGTAACCACGAGCTATACTCGGGCTTACCATGCGGCGCTGCTCCGGGATCTGTTCTTCTCTTACCTTGTCCTGCGCTCTCGCGATGTCCCTCCTGCAGTGTCCCCTGTAATGTTCTCCGGCGGATGCCGACATCTGTCTTCTGAGTTCCTTCGGGACATACGGGGACGGAACGGCGGGAAAGTTGAAAATGACAAAAAGTGACACTAAAGTCGCTAAATACACTAAAATCACATAGTAAAACATTACTGTATCAAAGGATTTCACATACATAGTGATCCTAGTGCTTTGTCCTGTGCCATGCCTACATTTTTACGATAGTAAATTAGAACTACTTGCAGAATTGAGTGAAAACGATTTGTGGGGAAATTCGTCATCAGACACTGAAAACAATTTTGCGACTAAGCTCATTGACGTGCGAACTTGGTGCTATATTTCAAATTTCAGTGTGTTTGGTTTGATTATATAATTGAGTAAAATTTATTATTATTATATTATTATTTTTATGATTATTTATTAAATTATAATTTATTATTTCATGTTTCAAATTTTAACATACCCGGGATGTTTACTAGACTCTTGTTCGGACAGATTTCAGTGAGTTATTCCTAAAAATTACAGGCCTACAATAAAAAAAATACAAAATTTCCATTCAAAAAAATGTACCGCTTTGACAACAGAAATATGGACATAATCAGACTGCTAGGGAGGTTAAAAAAAGACATGAGGAAGTGGCAGCATTGCCTCTGGAACACCTGCAAATCTCCATTCAACATCCTCTTAAAATTTATTCTTAAAATGTATCCACCACTGAATTTTCAGGGGGGGGGGGGGTGGAGACCAACACAGGTATGAAAAGAGCCTTAATTGGAGGCACTTTTAGTAAAAAAGCAAAAGTTAGGGTCTGCCAGTCCTTTATAAATCAGTTCAGTAAAAGGAAATACTATTTTACTCCTTGTTCATAACATCACAAAATTATTATAATAGTGTAAGTCAGGGGTGGGCAACTGTGGCCCTCCAGCTGTTGTAGAACTACAAGTCCAATGAGGCATGACAGTTACAAGCATGACTCCCAAAGGCTGAAGCATGATGGGACTTGTAGTTCACCAACAGCTGGAGGGCCACAGTTGCCCATCCCTGATGTAAGTGATTGTAAAGCCTTTTTTTTAAATAGCAATCATGTTATACTTACTGTTATACTTATCTGCTCTGTGCAATGGTAGAGCAACCCCAAACCTTCAGTATGGTTTAGCCCTGCCCCCACTGTCTCCTCATAGGATTTGTAGTGTAGTGTAGTGTAAAAAAGACAGTAGACAGTCTTTGACAAGTCCTTTATTAAAAATAAAAAAAATGTCCCCCGAAGTAGATCCAACATCAATCACAATGTCTGCGGCCACCGCCGACCCAAAAAAAGAAAAAAAATACGCTCCACCCTCGATGCTGGCTCCCGCTGTCTGGCAGCTACGCTGCGATGACAGTTCTTAAATAGGGTGATGAGTCACAAGGGGGCGGGATCACCCATGGTCAGGTGCAATGCTTTGGCCAATCACAATGCATTGTCAGGGTGTGTCAACGAACACATGAACAGCCCATGTTCGAGTTAAATTTACGTTCGATTTGAACATGCAGCCCATCACTATTCTCCAAGTGCCCCACAGCAAACCACTTGCAATGCAGGCACTCATGCGGGCTGAATTCCGAGCCAGGCTGTGTGCATTTATAGACGCACATGGCATGGCTCAGCCCTGCCCCCACTGTTTCTTCATAGGATTTGACTGACAGCAGCAGGAGCCAATGGCTCCCACTGCAGCCGAGTCTCCAGTGAGATAAGGGGAGAAAGGAGAAGAGCTGCTGCAGGTGGGCACAGTGCTGGATCGAAATTGGGTTCAGGTACGTATAAGGGAGGGCTGGGGGGAGAAGCTTTGAAAGGTTTATTACCTTAATGCAGAGAATGCATTAGGATAAAAAGAACTTTTACCATTACAACCACTTTAAAACTGGGTTTTCATTCAGTAAATCAAGATTAAAACCAGACATGGCGGAGATTCAGCTGGTGAGATTGGGCTGTGGGCGAGGCTGTACATTCCAGTCTGCATCTCCTAAAAGCATGGTCTGAGCTAAGCAGATCTGGGACGGAATAGATACAGAGTGTTCTGGCTGGTTTACTGACTTCACTAACGGCTGTGATAAGGATGTTATGTTGATATCGTTTGTTTATGGTTGTATATTTGGAGAGTTGAAGGATGTTTATCCTTGATTTGTAGCATAGACATGTCATTTAGAAGAAAATGATAGATTTGCTTGCAAATCAAATACCAGACTGGCTTGGGTATTACATTATTTAGTAGTGTTTAGCAACCAAACCCTTGTTATTTATTACTGTAATGCAGCTCAAATGCATATACAGTTGGGTCCATATATATTTGGACACAGGCACAATTTTAGATTTTTTCAGGTATTTACCAAAACATATTCAAGCTATAGTTATATAATGGATATGGGTTGAACATGCACACCCTCAGGTTTAATTTTAGGGTATGTACATCCAAATTTGGAGGAAGGGTTTTAGGAATTACAGCTCTTAAGATTAGCCACACCCCCTTTTTCAAGGTACCAAACGTAACTGGACAATTGAATCAAAAGCTGTTTCATGGCCAGGTGTGGGCTATTCCTTCATTATTTCTTCATCAATTAAGCAGGTAAAACGTGTGGAGTTGATGCTAAGTGTGGTATTTGCATTTGGAATCTATTGCTGTGAACCTACATCATGCGTTCAAAGGAGCTGTCCATGCAAGTGAAACAGGCCATTGTAAGGCTTAAAAAATTAAACAAATCCATCAGAAAGATAGTAGCAACATTAAGAGTGGCCAAATCAATAGTCTGGTACATTCTGAGGAAAGAAGAACGCATTGGTTAGCTCAGCAACATAAAAAGGCATGAATGTCCACGGAAGACAACAGTGGTGGATGATCGCAGGATCCTATCTATGGAAAAGAAAAACCCATTCACAACATCAAGACAAGTGAAGGACACTCTCCAGGAGGTGGGCGTATCATTGTCAAAGTCTACAATCAAGAGAAAACTTCACGAGAGCAAATACAGAGGGTTCACCACAAGGTGTAAACCATTCATAAGCCATAAAAATAGAAAGCCAGATTAGACTTTGCCAAAACACATCTAAAAAAGCCAGACCAGTTCTGGAAAAGCCTTCTTTGGACAGATAAAACTAAGATTAATCTGTACCAGAATGACGGGAAGAAAAATGTGTGGAGAAAACTTGGAACAGCTTATGATCCAAAGCACACAACATCATCTGTAAAACATGGTGGAGGCAGTGTGATGGCATGGGCATGCATGTCTTCCAGTGGCACTGGGGCATTGGTGTTTATTGATGATGTGACAGAAGACAGAAGCAGTCGGATAAATTCTGCAGTGTTTAGAGATACACTATCAGCCCAGATTGGGTTCCAGACGTCAGGCAGCCATTGCCAGTAAAGGATTCTCAACAAAATATTAAAAATGAACATTTTATTTATGATTATATTCAACTGTCCAATTACTTTTGGTCCCTTGAAAAAGGGGGGATGGCTACTCTTAAGAGCTGTAATTCCTAAACCCTTCCTCCAATTTGGATGTACATACCTGCACTTTCAGCCCATATCCATTATATAACCACTGTATAGCTTGAATATGTTTTGATAAATAGCTGAAAAAAACTAAAATTGTGCCTGTGTCCAAATATATATGGACCTAACTGTATATACAGAGAGAGAGAGAGAGAGATAACACTACCCTACCCCTATAGGAGCTTCTGGATGATCCCCTGCTGTCCCCTGTTGCTGCTTTGACCCCTGACCTTGCAAGCTTCTCAACCGTTCTCAAGCACAGAGTATATTAAGGGCAATGGTCACAGCACTGTAATGACCACAGTTGTATAAACCAGTTGCAGGCTCTAGGCATGTTAAACAAGCCTCAAAAAAAAGTAATCATTGTACACAGAGCATGTGTAACACGTCCAGTCCTTCTGCCCTTCTGCCAGGACCCACCCTGTCCCAGTACTCCGCAATTCAGCTCTGATTAATCAAAGTGGCACTGCCCAGTACACAGAAAATGTTCTGACAGTTGGATCTGTCAATAAAAGCAGTCTGGCAAAGTTTGGCAATAACATTGCTCAACCATGAATATAGAAACATACAAAGAAACATTGTTTATTTTTTTTTCTTTCTGTTTATTCATCTACAAATCAAAGGGATGAACTTATCTGCGGAAGAAGTCAGTTAAAGCAAAATTGACAAGTAAAAAAAGTTTTGGATCTGCGTATAGAAGAAGCAATCACCTTCAGTTTTCTCATGGCTCCTGCAGAACTTTCAGCGGCTGCAGGAGAAGATTGCTTCTTCTATTTGCTACCCTGCCGCCCCTCCTATCCCAGTGTAGACAAATGTGACAGGGGAGACACAAGGGCCTCCTGCAACATGGGGCTGGGTCATGAATCCTGCAACCCCTATAGTCACACCATTGGTATGTAGAAACGTAGCCACCTTCTCTTGCTTGCTCCCGAGATGGACTATGGACTTTGGGATTTGGAGTGTGCATAGAGTAATGCACATCTCCACAACTAACATGCACTGCTAGATTTCAGCACCATTAAGTAGTGGATATATATGGACTATTTTTTGAAAATAAGGACTTTAACTGTCACTTTATGGTTTGCAGCAAGTGTTATACTATGCTGTGCTGACCGCAGATCCCCCACAAAAAGCAGTACCCTGGCTGTCTAGCAGTCCAGCATAGTGTTACAGTCAACAGCTTTGCTCACAGTGCTACCACTAAGCAACAATACCAATTAAAGCAGTATTAAACCCCAAATCAAATATGTAATATATTACAGCTTACCAGTCATTAGATGTGGTGGCTGCATTAGTTTTCTTTTTTAGGCTTTTTCCCCTCTGTTTTCACCTTGTGATCTGGCTAGTAGTGCACCTCCTGTACTATAGTGCCCCCCACTCGGGAAGAAGGAGAACTGGGGACACCTTGGACAGCAGCATTGTCAGTCTGGGAGAAGGGGAGTGTTAGGTGTTCTAGCATGTAGGTGGGGCTTAGGCACCCTAGTGGGGAACCTTAGAACTACACTCACTAAGTAGACACAAAACAGCAGCACTATATGAAAACAAAACACTTTTTGTATAGTAAGTGTGAAAAAATTCAAGAGAGCCCATATACAAATGTAAAGAAGTGTTCACATAAATATAAATTCTATAACATGTGAGTCCATA